AAATGTTTTCCATTTTCATGCTTACGGGACAGCATAATTAAGATTGTTAATGAGTGGAGCAGTTTATAAATAAATTATAAATTATTTTAATTAAATTTGACTTAAACTCAACTCATTTATTAAACAAATTGAGTTCAAACTTAATATTGATCTCAAGAAAAAAAAAAAGAAACCAGCTTACTTTCTATTTCAAGAAGCTGTTGATTAGTTACATCTTCAAATTACTTTTTATGCTTACTTTCTAGTTTTTATTCCAAGAAGCTGTTGATTGAATTCATATTCAAATTAAACACGTGAAATCAACTTCTGTTGAGCTTTCCGCAGAAGCAAGTAAATGCCTTTCTCTCCATTTATCCAAAAAAAAAAAAAGCCTTTCTCTCCTAAAGTACTGACCATTGTCAATTAGATATTTTAAACTCAACTTTATAAAATATTTTTATATTGTGATAATTGAAAGTTTGAAGAAGATGTGCTGCCACCATAGCAGAAGGTATCAACACCTTGTAGTCGAAATAGAAAAGGAAAGCCATCATTGCCTTAAAAGTATTCACGCCCTTCCGAGGGTGGGAGCGCCAAGAGGGCAGCAGTCACACATACAAATTTGCAAATAAAGAAGATTGAAAGGGTACCCTGTTGGGGGTACTGACAGCTTAAATGAGAAAATTTTTTCTAACAATTTTTCTAATAGTAAATTTATTCCCTCTTTCTCAATATATTTTATTTTCATTTCAAGAGTCTTCCACTCCACAATCCTATTTCTTCATCATTTCTTTTTCATATTAATGTTTTGAGAGTCTTCCACCTCTATTATTGTGGTGTAACGTGATTAAACAAATTTCTCAGCATCTTAGCTATCCTTTATATATCCATTCCCTTTTTCCATTTGCATATCATTGTTATTGAGTATATTGAACTAACCTAACCATAGGTTTCCTATTTCCTTTGGTACATCTGCATTTTTTCACATCCCACTTCTAACTCACCAAACCCCAATAATTGGCTTAATTTAGGAGATTAAAATTTTTTTTATAAAATGAAAACAGAAAATATTTCCCCAACCAAAAACAAACAAATTCAATTGTTGGCCACCCATATCCAACTAAAAGAATTTTTTTTTATTATTTTGTAAAAGAAAAATAGTAAAGTTAGTTTTGGTCCATTGATTTATGGTTTTCCATTTTAGTTCTTGTTTTTGATGATGAATAAATAAATTTAATAATAAAGCGAAAGGAAAATGATTGGTACACTTTTTGATTTAACACATTTACCAACATTTATCAGTTCAATCATTAAAATTTAACATTTTAAGTTTTCCCATCATTAATTCAAACTTAAAAATAATAATTTCTTAATTAATGTGTTGTAGAATGTATTAAATTAAAATATATCAGTGACAAGGTTATCAATTAACTAAAAAGATACTATTCCTATTACACGTCTCTTATACCATAAGACAATTAAGATCTAGGAGCCAACTATCACTAGAAACCCATATAGCAACTCTTAGAAAGACAATGACATTCTCTTTGCAAGGGAAAACTCTCAAAAAGAGGGAGATAATACCACATTTATTCAAACTCCTTAACTACAAAGGGAGAGAGAGATAGCAACAAGGGAAAAAGAAGAATGTAGAGAAACCTTAGAAAGAAACTTTCAAAAGAGGGTGACAAATTTTCTTTGAGAAAACCCTCCAAAAAGAGGAAGACAATCCTTGAATTCCACCTTTATTTATCTTTCCTAATTGCTAAGGGGGAGAGAGGTAGCGATGAGGGGGAAAGAAAAACCAAGAGAGAAGAGAGGGTATGAGGGCAAGAGAGAGAAAGAGAGGGGGAAGGGTAGGTAGGTTTTACACAATTTTAGAATGGCTCTTGCATCCTATTTTGTTTTAAAAAAAAAAAAACGGAGAGGATGGAGATGAATGGATATTATTTTCTTTCTATTTTCCTCCTCCTTTCCCCTCCTTTTGGACCAAACAAACTATTGGTGACAATAATGAAAAATAAAAGTTGATTGAATAAAAAATTATTTGTCACCATCCTTCGTATTATCATCCAAAAGTGCTGTTTATTTTTGTTCATTAGTATTCTTCCACCTAATATATATTCATTTTTGTCTTTTAATTAACAGCATTTATGTTGCATTATCTATTGTTAGTTTACTGTTAAAAACTAACATATATCATTTACAATAATTTTCCTTATTAATTTTCCCCTCACAATGACTTTTCAATTGCTATACAAACGTATCATTTCTTTGTCAAGGTTTTATTTTGCTCTAAAAAAAATTTGTTGCTCTACTAAGTTGTTTAGAGTTTTTAATGTATTTACAATTAAGGTGTCTCTAGATAAATTTTTATACAATTCAAGACTAATCTTTACTCATGGGCACCCCCTCGCATTAGCCAATTGCATTTAAAAAAATTATTTTCTTTGAATGGTAATCCAAATACTTAAATGTTGGATTTAATTTATAAGAGAACACTTATTTTCCAATAAATCTAATCCTTCGAATTCAAAGTGTCTAGAATGAATCTATTAAGTTATCTGTGTTTCTTTAAAAAGAAAAAAAGAAAAGCCTTCTATTAAGTAGTCTCTATTTGAATTGAACTAACAAAGTCCAAGGGCATAAAAAGGCATATGTGAAG